TGCATCTTCTAGCAAAAAGAGAAAAAGAGGTATTCTTTAATTTTCAATACTTTATTATATATTTATATTTATATAATTATATATTGTTTGTCATTTAGTCATTTACCAATTATTATTTGTAGGACCAAGGAATTTAAATGCTATTAAAAAAGGCAAAGCTAAAGTTGTTGAGATAGATGATGATGAAGATGATGATGGTATTGAAGTGGTTGATGATGAGGAAACGGAAGAGGATGAGAAAACGGAGATGGTTGAAGTAGAAGAAGATGATGATGATGATGAAGATCTTGACCTTGGAGATAATGAAGATTGAAGAAGTTGACTACTACTATTTTTTTGATGAGTCTTAGAGAACTTGACTTTTTGTTGTCATTCAATGCATCTCTCATTTTTTTGGACCATAGGTGATATGTCCATAACTTGACTTTTGATTGAATTGAAGTATATAATTATAATGAATCAATGATAAATACATATTCTCTTGATATATGATTTATTTTATATTGTAGTTGGCTTGCAAATTGCAAATAATATATAAAAATCAATCACGGTGGGATTCGAACTCACATTTTCTATCCATAAAGGCTAGCGTCTTTCCATTTAGACGACGTGATTATGTCAATTAATTATTTTTATAATGCAATAATGCTCAAAATTCAATACATTGCTTTTTTAACTATATAGATGTTATTTTTTATCTTTGTTTGAATTTTGTGTCGAATCTTATCATTCACAATTCGATACGATTCTCGATTCACAAATTTAAGATTCTGATTTACGATACGAATCTCGATTTAACAACTATGGATGGGATAATGGCTGTACTTAGCCAGATTACAGGAGATATGCTGCAAAGAATTTAGGATCAGACAAAGGATGATCCCGTGACCAGCTTACTGTTGAAACAGGTCCAAGAGGGAGTGTCTCGGCGATTTTGGGTAGAGGATGGTGTTCTCTATACCAAAGGAAAGAGACCCTATGTTCCGAAGTCAGGTGGACTTCAACAGATGTTGCTGAAAGAAACTCATGATGCTCTTTGGTCAGGATATCCGGGTCAGCAACGGACCCTTGCCTTGCTAGTAGAAAGTTATTATTGGCCCTGTATGAAAGTGGATGTTGAGCTGTATGTGTGCACTTGTCTGGTGTGCCAGCAGGACAAAACAGAAAGGAAGAAGGTGGCGGGTACGTTGGAACCCCTCCCTATTCCAAGCGGACCTTGGGAGAGTGTTTCCATGGACTTCATCAATGGCTTGTCTAAGGTGAACGATTTTACTTCGATATTTGTGGTTGTAGACAGATTTTCGAAGTATGTCACTTTTATTGCAGCTCCAAAAGTATGTTCTGTTGAAGTTACTGCTCAGCTGTTCCTCAAGCATATTGTGAAGCTTTGGGGTCTTTTGCTGGATATAGTCAGCGATAGAGACACTCAGTTTACTGGCCGGTTCTGGACGGCCTTAATTGAACTGTTGGGCACACAGTTCAACCTTTCCACCACCAATCATCCGCAGACAAATGGGTAGATTGAGCGGGTTAATGCAATGCTGGAGGAATATCTCAGATACTATGTCACAGCGAACCAGGACAATTGAGTGGATTTACTTGATGTAGCCCAATTCAGTTATAATTTGCAGCAAAGCTCTTCCACTAGAATGAGCCTATTCGAGTTGGCAACCGGCCAACAGCCTCTTACTCCCCATGAAGTTGCCAAGCAGAAGTCTCAAGAGAGATGTCTTGCAACATACCGCTTCGCTCGAGCTAGGAGAAGGACCGACGAGGCAAAAGACTGCTTGACTAAGGCGGTGAAAATGATGAAGAAGTGGGCAGATGAGAAAAGGAGAGCAGTAGAATTTGATGTGGGTGACAAAGTGATGCTGAAATTGACCCCACCAATCTGGAAGAAGATCACTCAGAAGTCTGCACATAAGGGATTGATCTCGCGCTATGACGGTCCTTTCCTTATCACAAGAAGGATTGGCAGGTTGGCTTATAGGCTGGATCTTCCCAATCGTCTCAAGCTTCATCCAGTATTCCATGTTGCTTTCTTGAAGCCATATGTTGAGGACCCAGAAGACCCTGGCAGATATGTTCGGCGTCGGGCTCCTCCAACGATCAGGAAGCAATTCACAGAGATAGCAGAAGCTATTCTTGACCACAAGACTGAGGGAATGAGTAAGAAAAATAGAAGAACTCATTACCTAGTCAAGTGGAAAGGGAAAGCACCAGAAGAAGCCACTTGGGAGAAAGAGACGACATTGTGGCAGTTTGAGGATCTCATCAAGCAGTACCATGCCTCCATTCTAACGAGGTCGTTGGATACTTCAGGTGGGGGTGGCTTGTCACACCCTAACTGACTTGGGTGTAAATGGCTGGTCTTGGTGGCACCTTGCACCAAGGCACGCCATGAGTTAGAATCATGGTGACAAGGCTAAATGGTACGATAGATTAGTGCGGACCAAGGTAGCATGAGACCACCCAGCTGAGCATGGCAGCACGTGGTGGGCTCAACTGAGGTAATGTAGGTGCATAGCTTCAGATTGCATGGCATGGGCTAAACCCAGCATGCACATTGGTTCGTGAAGCAAGGCTGGCTACTGAATGTGGGCACATGACTGGCATATGGCTACTCAATGCATGTGACCAGGAGGATGTGGGCAGTTGCAGATGCTGAGACTCAGTCAAGGCAGTTGCTAAACAAGGCCTAGTCTGTGGAAAGCAGTTCTGGGCGCCCCTAGTCTTAATCTGGTCCAGATGCATGCTGATGAAGGGCAGTTCCACTTCAGGGCAGTTCCACATCAGTTACTGAAGGGGTAGAACTGTCTGCCAAGTGTTGCACAGAGATCAAACTTGTTGGCCAAGTTTGCTATGGAATAGCAGAATGTGTGTAATTACCCTTTGGCAGATGGCGGTGTCATCTGCCATACTCTTTGTATAAATAGGGGTGCTTGAGCATTCTGATAGTCAGAGTGTGTTCTGGCTTTGAGAGTTTCTTGTAAATTATTGAGTTCAATATATAAGGTTTGGGAGTGCTGTCCCAGTAAATTCATGTGTGCCTTCTGTGTGAGTTTTTGTCCCTTGTTCTTGAGATTGTGTGGCTGGTTGCAGTAGCAACGCCTTTACAGGTAGTCTCGAAACGAAAAATGAGTTGTTACCCAGTGACATATAGGATGAAGCATATAAAAAGCTGATACAAGATTAAGACAACTTCATATAGAATTTCAGAAAATCAAAGCTTGTTTTGAACTTGATCTGATCCCGAAATGATTTGAATCACTACAAGAAATTAAGGATACCACAATCATGGTCATCTAAATCCAGCATAGACCTTTATCCTATGACTTGGATTCATTTTGCGAACCACATTGGGGTAGCTAATTTGTCAAAGAATTTTCTTCGCTCATCCCAATAAACATTTTAACAACCCAACAAATACAACAAACTGAGCAAATCAATCATCAATAAAAAAAAAAAACAAAAAACAAAAAAAAAATAGTATAAGAAAAGAGAAATGGAATACCTGTTGAAGAAGAAACGGAGCAACGAAACTTTGCGAGTTCAACAATAGTGTGTCTGCGTTTGAGAGAACAAGGGAGCAGAAGGAAGATGCAGAAATGGGTGGAAAACAACACCGTTGGGTAACAATTTGTGAGATACTCATGCGTGATTGAAGTGGTTATTGTTGCTAACATTAATGTTTGGAATCTGAATAGCTGAAAAATGAGAGATGGAGGCTTAAAAAATCAGTCGAGAAAAAGAGGGAGATGAAGGGTGACGTTAATTCCAGCCAGCGGTGTGAGAGTTTAAGGCAAGTATATAACGGTAGGTGTAATGCCCTAATTAACACAATTAGGTTTATGAGAGACAGGTGGGAGTCATTTTGGGAAGAGAGAGGCAGAGAAATGGATGGGAGTCGTTTAGGGGAGAAAGAAAGAAAGGGCCGGAAAAGGAGGGGGGATTAGGGAGTAAGTAGAATTAGGATTTGAAAGACATTAAATATGAAGGATATAGACGAATTATATTTTTGAAGGGCAAAGTTGGGAAAAAATGTTTTTCAAATATTCCGACTTTTTAAAGTAGTATAAATTAAAGAACTATGGAAAGGTTTTGAAGCAACTCAACTCCAACAATAAGTAGATGGGTTGGGTTACGATGGATGGAGTGAAATAAATATTTATTCCGCACTCCCTCTCACCGGCTTGGAACTATCATATGTTATGAACATAAAGGGTAGGTTGGTTCATTTTCTAGAAGGGCTCAAGGTAGTGGAACTTTTTCCTACTAGTTCAGAAAGGCAAGCACCCTTCTTTAGAGGTATAGGTTGCAAAGAGATGTTGATATTGAGCATGGCCTTAGGATAGTCGAGGGGAAACACACTTAACCTTTAGCGAATAATAATGAGTCCACCTTCTTTACATTCTTTATTACCATTCCTTTAACTAATCCCTCATTATTTTCTCATATTAAGCTCAATAATGATTCACTTTAAGCCCTTCTAGCTGCTTTGCATTCTTCTTATTATGGATGCTACGTGCAGTGGGGCTGTTGTGACACCAGTCATGTAGGTTGCTACTTATGTGATTAGGAGTGTTGCCACTTGGGGACAGTTAANAGCTGCTTTGCATTCTTCTTATTATGGATGCTACGTGCAGTGGGGCTGTTGTGACACCATTCATGTAGGTTGCTACTTATGTGATTAGGAGTGTTGCCACTTGGGGACAGTTAAGAGTTACTGTCACCACCATCTACTGGGCTTCCATGATTCGATTATTTCAAGCACATTTCATCTGTTAGATTGTTACATTACTCATTGCTTTATCTATTATCTCTGTTGCCATTAAAACCCTACCCTCTATTGAGTGGGTTGACACAGGAAGATATTCAGATGAACCTTCCAATAAGCATTATGGCTGCAAAGCCATCCTTGTTGGTGCCTGTTAGCCATAGGGCCTTTGCGGGCATGGGAAGGAATGGCAGCAGACAATTAACTAAGCTGGGGGCCCAAAATGGAATTGTGGATGAGTCCGCTTGTCTCAAAACTGGTTGAGACAAAAAATGGATTTTTGAACCGATCGGTTCACCATGCATCGACTCCATTCACTTGCATTGACCTACTAGGATATATATCCTTTCCTTGGTACAATGGAAGTGGTATTTCTCCTTTAAGAAGACAATTAGTGAAAGAAGAAGGTATTCTTTCGTCTCTAAGTGTAGGAAAAGATAAAACAACCGGAAAAGAAATGATTAGTTCAAAGGTAGGCAACACGGATACTTTGTAAAGGTCAATGTATCCGTATCGGATACTATATCGAATACGATACTTGTCAGATGCTCGAGGGTACATATTAGATATACACCAAATGTATCCAATAATGCACAAATATATGGATACTTCACGGATACTTCTATATGCGGAGAAGTATGTGTCATTTTTAGTTTTAATTTTTACCCCTTACTTTTGATTACACATACAATGAAACACACCAACAATAATCCATATCACGTTGAAGATAGTACACATGGATGTTTTTCAAGTATTATTCATTATCATGTGTCCAAAGAGTATAAATTAGTTGATTACTCTATATTTTTAGCAACAAATACTTCTAACTAATCAATCTAATTAATGTTGGTTTTTGTTCCTTTAATTAATCATGCTTAGTGTTTACTTTGTAGATGTACTATTGTGAGACGATAGTTAACTTTTTAAAAATAAAAAATTATTAATGTTGTTTATTATTGTTAAAGAATCACTAAAAAATATAACTATCAAGTCATTACATAATAGTACAAATATAAAATATATGTATTTATAGACGTATCATTACCATACTTTTATCCTATTTTTTGGGGTTTTGTCGTATACGTATTGTCTCGTACCCGTATTCATTTCCATGCTTCCTAGGTTCAAAGGATGGACCAGAATTCCCATCAAGAACCAAGAACCTATCAATAAAAGAAAGGATCAGTTCTGAAGTTATACTTGACATAAGAGAAACTTCTCTTAATTCTTACACTGTTGTGAGCTTAGACATGAATACTACATTCAAGTAAAATAGTTGTTTTGTTTAGGTTTTTCACACTCTGATATTTTAGCCAGTTGAAAAAAGAATAGAATTATGAAATGATTTGAATTGATTCATGAGATTTGCGCTCAAGGAATTGGTCTTTGTTTGATCCAATAGTATGCGCAGCAGTACTAACGGCTATGCCTCCACATCTCCACTCAATCATTTGGGTGAAGACATGCTCGTAAGGCACAAAACTAGAGGTGTGGGTATTAAGGAAAACATTTAGTAGAGATCATCTCGTGGCTTTCTTCCAATACCTTGATCTAAAAGTAGCAGCATTTCTTGATTGAATTCTTATTGCAACTAATTCCTCAATACTCGATAATGCTCTTACTACAAGGAAGTTAGGGCAGCGGGCAGGTACGAAGTTCGGTCAATCAATCGCTCAATCCACCCGAGGCAAGGGATTCTTGTTGCGTCCAATAATACTGCTTCTGGGGACAGCTTTGGAACTGGGGCCTACTTTTCCTGCTTTCTTCCCCAAGGATGGCAGCAAGTGTCTCCCCCTAGTGTGCCTAATAATACTTTCATTTTTCCTATTCTTTCCATTTTCTTTGTTTCTGTTTTGAAGTAAGGAGGAAGAGGGAGGGGGGTGGGGAGGCTCATACATTGGTGTGGTCTATACGGCAAGCAACAGTAGGTCAACAAAATAACTACATAAGCCAATTGGGCAAAATAACCTTTTTTTTTAAATCAGATTTGTAGNTTTTTCCTATTCTTTCCATTTTCTTTGTTTCTGTTTTGAAGTAAGGAGGAAGAGGGAGGGGGGTGGGGAGGCTCATACATTGGTGTGGTCTATACGGCAAGCAACAGTAGGTCAACAAAATAACTACATAAGCCTATTGGGCAAAATAACCTTTTTTTTTTAAATCAAATTTGTATTGTAGCCTCAGTAATAATTTTTTAAGAATGTCATTGGTTCTCTGTTAACCATTTTTATGAACCCTTTTAGAGCACATGATTGCAATTGTGATCTCCAAGAAATTTATAATTGAACTTGTTTTGAGATCAGCTAGCCTAATGCATACTTAACTAGAACAGTGTGCCATCATCAGAAACTTGTCTGCTTGAATTTGGTTTTATAAATACCCACCCATGCAGCATTATTGCAGGAGGTGCAATTTCTAGTTCACTATGTTACTGCCTTCTGAAATTTAGCTTCTAAAGGATGTGGGTTTAGTTTTTAAGGACATAACTTTCTGAAAAAGGTTGATTCATTTCCAAGAAGAAAAAAAAATGTTTCCCATGTTTTGCCAAGTTCAGATGCTCAACACTCAAGCCCATGGTATTGCCATGGGCTTGCACGATCCTGGAATAAAAGAATTGCTTCAATATTTTCTTGGAAGGACCTCAGGAATCTGTATTTTGCGTTTTTTGGAATAGGAATGTTGTATTCATGTGATGTACAATAGGATGAGGCTAATCGGTCTATACTTTTGGGAAAATTATGGACTGTTAAATAACTGCATATAATTAGCTGAAATTTTGGTGGGAGTCCTTTTAGCACTTACTTTCGTTTTAAGTTTTTAACAAGGTTTTTCCCATTATGGAATGCATTTCAGTATCTGAGAATCTATGTCACAATTCTAAAGTTATACCCTTCTCGCTCTCTTAACTGCAAGATCTCATTCATGCACTATATTGATGAACCATTTAGGAGCTCTGAATTTGTTTTGATGCATGATTACCTCCCTGCCTGTATTTTTTTTCAGGTGAATAAAAATGCTCTGCTCTGTAAATCAATAGATGAGTTATTTGAAAAAGGAAGAGATGAAGTACAACAATCAGTTTTAGGGGGACTGATGCAGCAGGTGAGAATGAGATGCATGCTACAGATATGCGCTTGACCTGATATTTTCCGTCCTTTCCCACTAAAACTAATAGATGCTTCTGGTAGAAAGTGTAATTCTACTTCATCCCTCTGTTGTGATAGTAAGCATTTTTGAAATTTACAGGTACACAATGTATTGGCGTTATTTGAAGTTGGGCTAAGGAATAGTTAAGGCATTGCTGCTTCCGTATTCTTGTATGATCGCATCGCTTCAGGGTAGATAGATCTTGAATTACATTTCATAATCTTTTGATCAAAGTCAACCCATTTTTGAAACAGAATCATACCATTTGTGCTTATCCCCCTCCCAAAAAAAAAAAGCAATGGACATTTTGGAACAACTGATTTATCGTTCCTAAACTGTATTATTAGGCACACAACTATTCTATGGGCTTATCTTTACCATTTGTGTTTTGAAGTAGGCTAAGTGTTGTTAGGACTTAGAACTACAATCATAATGCAATTGATAACAGTAATTTCTAGTTTCCATAGAATTTGCAGAAAATTTCATTAACACCCTCATTGGCTAACAAATGTTACGGTTTATTCTAAAAACTTTCCCATGAAACATCTAAGTACTTATCCATCTTCAAATCACATAAACTTAGTTTACAAAGGTTGTATAGACGAAAAGTTGCAACATCCCACCAGGGTTTACACTCAAAACCCTTGTTGACACCCTGATTTCCCAATCTTCCACAATCAATTCTGTAAAACCACCACTGGGGCAGGCTAATCGGTTATTGTTGANTATAGACGAAAAGTTGCAACATCCCACCAGGGTTTACACTCAAAACCCTTGTTGACATCCTGATTTCCCAAGCTTCCACAATCAATTCTGTAAAACCACCACTGGGGCAGGCTAATCGGTTATTGTTGAACTCTTTCATTGCAGAGGTCACTTGTTATTCTTTCTCTGCACCAGTTCATGCTCCCTGGCCTCACTCTGCTTCGAACTTGAACCCTTATTCTTCCTCTACCAGCCTTTTGCCTTGTTCTGACTTCTGATTCCAGTCAAAAATCCAGTCCGCCATCTCAGCTTCATCTCCTTCTTCATGCTTGTCTTCTGCTTCTCTGGTGGGTGGTTCCACGGTCACAATGGGTTTACAGATGGGTCCTTCGCAATGGTGGGTCAGGGTGACTCTTNCGAACTTGAACCCTTATTCTTCCTCTACCAGCCTTTTGCCTTGTTCTGACTTCTGATACCAGTCAAAAATCCAGTCCGCCATCTCAGCTTCATCTCCTTCTTCGTGCTTGTCTTCTGCTTCTCTGGTGGGTGGTTCCACGGTCACAATGGGTTTACAGATGGGTCCTTCGCAATGATGGGTCAGGGTGACTCTCTGTAGCTGGATGGGTTGAATATGTTATTTGTTAACCTGGCTTGATTGTAATTGGTTCAATTTTTATGTTGAATGAATGCTCAGAAACCATGTCTAGTTTTGTGAATTGGGTTTGTGGTGTGTTAAAGTCATTCTTGGGAACTAGATCTTGAAGGATTCTATAAGTCCAAGCCCTTCGAATGTGATTTACTTCCACACTCTGATTTAGCTTGATATTATGAGTTTTTGATAATTATATGCTAATTCATGGAATCTCCAGTACCATAGCATTTTTTGAAGCTCAATGTATTTTGTGTTGTTAGTTTCTTTGTTGTAATATGTGGGCATCTGGCACAAAACATTGTGGCATTTATTGGTTCTTGGGTGCTATGGTTATGATGTTGTAAAGGTGTGAGAGTGAAATGGCTTTGAGGTGGTGCCGCTGGTGGTTGTTGTGTGTGTGTGTGAGTGAAACGNTATGTGGGCATCTGGCACAAAACATTGTGGCATTTATTGGTTCTTGGGTGCTATGGTCATGGTGTTGTAAAGGTGTGAGAGTGAAATGGCTTTGAGGTGGTGCCGCTGGTGGTTGTTGTGTGTGTGTGTGAGTGAAACGGATGTGCGTAGTGGGCGGACTTTAGGCTAATGGTTTACAGTGGTGGCTGGGTGTTGGCCGATGCATGAGAGATAGAGCAGAGATGATTGGGATGACATCTACATTTTTTGGTTTGTTAGTAACAGCTATTGACAGCAGGAATGTGGATATGGCAGAAAAATGAACTAAAAGGGGGGCAGTGAAGCTTAAAATAATACAATGGGTGTTTTTGAAGATGAACTATCTACAANACAGTGGTGGCTGGGTGTTGGCCGATGCATGAGAGATAGAGCAGAGATGATTGGGATTCTTAAAAGAACCCAGTATGACATCTACATTTTTTGGTTTGTTAGTAACAGCTATTGACAGCAGGAATGTGGATATGGCAGATAAATGAACTAAAAGGGGGGCAGTGAAGCTTAAAATAATACAATGGGTGTTTTTGAAGATGAACTATCTATAGAAGGGGTGGATGAAATTTTTCTTTGAATTTAAGAACCATCGAATGGTTCATTTTGCATTTTTGGTGTATTTTTTTTATTATTACACTTTGTTAAGGAATCAGGCCAACTTTATTGGTTGAGATCTTTCTAAACAATATCATTATTTTTTCTCTCCTACCATGAGAATTTGAAAATTATGGATTTAAGGAGCATTCTTTTGTAAGACAAAGAGTACTTCCCAAGAGAGAGAGAATTTTAAACATTTTTGTCCAAGTTTTTCTGTGGGGAAGGTTGATTCCAGTTAGGAATGAAAGTTCAACACAGTATTCATATCTTGGATAACAAGAAAAAGTTGAATATATATATATATATATTTGTGCTAATATCTTCTAGTCAACTCCTTTAAGGCATTTCTCTCTGGCATTCGGCTTGATCCCTCCAAGCTTCAATCAATGTGTCTAAGAGGGGGGTTGGAAATGGCCCCTTTCAAACTGTTGTGTTGCACATTTTGTTTTTGGAAATGATTTGATGTTTTCTTGTTTGCTTTGTTCAATGGTCCCTTCCAAACTGTTGTGTTGCACATTTTTTGTCTTTGGAAATGATTTGATGTTTGCTTGTTTGCTTTTGTTCATTGATTTTGTCCCTCACCTTTGCTTGGTTTTGGCATTTGCCTTGTCATTATATGTGTCCTCATTGACACCATTGCTCATTAGGCAACTGTGGGATTGATATCATTGTCAATGCAATATCCAGACAGGTTTTAACATGGAGGAGATTTTACGCAAATACATTCGGTATGTGCTGAACGAAAAACCCTTTGACCCTGACCTGGTAGCAAATTTAATCCAGCTGAGGAAAGCATCTATGTTGAATGATTCTCAAGTGGCTGAAGTTTTGAACGAAATCTCACGACGTATTGTCAAAGAAAAAGGTAATTCATTGGACAACTGCACATGCATGTTGCATGTCCTGTTGCACATAAATCAGAATTAGCCTACATGAAAATGAACTGGTGAGAATGAGATGATGGACTGATTATACAATAAGAGTTGCACTTCTTGATCAAGTAAATGCTAGTGAGAATAAGATGATGAATTGATTATACAAGAGTGGCATTTCTGGATATAACAATCGTTAGGGAGTAGCTTTGGAGAGAATGCGATGCACTGAGATGGAATAGGCTGATTGTGTTTCAAAAAATAAACATTGAAGTCAAATAGCTTGAATGACACCCTATTTACTTCTAACACTAAATGCTCAGACAGAATTTGTTTTTTGTTTTTAGGNTAGTGAGAATAAGATGATGAATTGATTATACAAGAGTGGCATTTCTGGATATAACAATCGTTAGGGAGTAGCTTTGGAGAGAATGCGATGCACTGAGATGGAATAGGCTGATTGTGTTTCAAAAAATAAACATTGAAGTCAAATAGCTTGAATGACACCCTATTTACTTCTAACACTAAATGCTCAGACAGAATTTGTTTTTTGTTTTTATTACCTATCTTTAGTNAAAATAAACATTGAAGTCAAATAGCTTGAATGACACCCTATTTACTTCTAACACTAAATGCTCAGACAGAATTTGTTTTTTGTTTTTAGGAATGATTTGGAGTGATTTAAATCATAGATGTAAGGATTTTTTGAGATATGAAAGTTACTTGCATAGTTCGTAGTGGGTCATGCCTTGAAATACACCAACTCTTCAGTATGAGTTTTCTTAGTTGAATTTTCTTTGGTCTTGTCGTCTGGCAACAAATACTTACTTAGGAAAGCTTTTAGAGGATTGTAAAACAGTAATAAGGCAGAAACAATGCTTAATTATTGGAGGCGAGACCTGTGCGATGCATGGATTTACACCCTTCCCCCGTCTAGTCCACCTCCATCTCCGCCGCCACCCTACCAAACTACCCTTCTAACTCTCTACCCATCGACCCATTTTTTGTCTATTATTATTTGTGGGAAAATAGGAGAGGAAGTGGGAGATTAAGAGATAAGAATAAATGGGAAGTTGAAGAGAGAAAATTGAGATAAGGAAGTTAAAGATAACGGGAGAGCTAGTGAGCATTGTGGTATAAGGTGGTGCATTGGTGAGGATTGTATGTTTTATGATCTCTTAATTGTTTCTGCTCCTGGTTGGTCAGGACATGACATTGGGCTGCATAGTAGCATTAGAGGGACTTATTCAACAGAAAACTAAAATTCGAACACCTTACCATTTATGTATCATTGTCAGATGCTGACATNGTGGTGCATTGGTGAGGATTGTATGTTTTATGATCTCTTAATTGTTTCTGCTCCTGGTTGGTCAGAACATGACATTGGGCTGCATAGTAGCATTAGAGGGACTTATTCAACAGAAAACTAAAATTAGAACTCCTTACCATTTATGTATCATTGTCAGATGCTGACATATATTTTATACATTTTCAGGTCCAGTTGTCATGGATATGTCAGGATATTCTGAAAAAGGTTTCAAGAAAAAACTTGCTGTGCAAACTCTTTTCGGAAAGGTTTATTATCTAGCTGAGGTAAGAGGCTGAACAGTCGGTATGTTGACTATATTCCTTCCATGTATTGGATATTTGGATATTTGGATATTTCATTTTCTTTTTGCTCTTGGTATGAGCTTACTGCAAGCTTTTCTTTCTTAAAAGAGATTGTTATATGATCTGTTAGATTATAAATTGTATCATGGATTACTTTGTTTTGAGAGGTAAAATGTGTTGGCAGCAGATTTATTAATTGGCCGATAGTATGTTGTTGCCTAGCTGGGGAAAACGATTCACATTTGACGTTTTTGGNATACATTTTCAGGTCCAGTTGTCATGGATATGTCAGGATATTCTGAAAAAGGTTTCAAGAAAAAACTTGCTGTGCAAACTCTTTTCGGAAAGGTTTATTATCTAGCTGAGGTAAGAGGCTGAACAGTATGTTGACTATATTCCTTCCATGTATTGGATATTTGGATATTTCATTTTCTTTTTGCTCTTGGTATGAGCTTACTGCAAGCTTTTCTTTCTTAAAAGAGATTGTTATATGATCTGTTAGATTATAAATTGTATCATGGATTACTTTGTTTTGAGAGGTAAAATGTGTTGGCAGCAGATTTATTAATTGGCCTATAGTATGTTGTTGCCTAGCTGGGGAAAACAATTCACATTTGACGTTTTTGANGGTAAAATGTGTTGGCAGCAGATTTATTAATTGGCCTATAGTATGTTGTTGCCTAGCTGGGGAAAACGATTCACATTTGACGTTTTTGATTATGATTTATCATGTGGTGGCCCTTATTAAACCATCAAATTGCATGTAGTCTTAGATTTAAACTCATTTGTGAGGCTTTTAAACAAGCCATTTAAAGTCATCTGGTTGCGGTTTTTAACGTTTCTAGTTGCTAATGAATTTTTTTCGTCTTTACTTGTTAAAAAATGATTGTTTGCTCTTGTTGGGTGGTCAAACTAATTTGATCTGTTAGTAGAAGTTAATGTGTGCTTTTTCTTAAATAGCTGTGGTTGATTGATTTTTTACTTTGTGAACCAGCTGCCTGAGTTCTGTTCAAGGGATAACTCCTTAATTGTGAAAGAAAAATTTGGGGTGGCAGAGTAAGACTCCTGTCTTGAAGTTTCACAGCCATTGTGTTTGTTACAATTTTCGCTAGTAATGTCTAAATCTTTGTGTTTCTTTAAATTTCTCAGTGAAGATGCTGAAAAGCTTAGGATGCACACTATTTCAGAAGCGGGGGATATGGGTTCACTAGAGAAGATGGTTGATGGTTCTGAATTAAAAGATTTGCATGATGGCGAATCCATTGCTCCATGATTCACATAAATTAAACCCAAGTGGAAGTGGTTTTGACAAAGCACTTACGTCCTATACATGTTCTTTGCAATGTTTCTTTAGATAGTGTAAAACTAATTTTCCCGAGTAACAGTTGAATTTTGGTTGCAAGACAATCTTCAATTTTGGCTTTAAGACTTTATTTTGTAAATTGAATATTCAGAGAGGAAGGAAGTGCCATAGATTTAGTTTACGAATTAATGTTGAATTAATTTGACATTTTTGTTGCGATTTCCCCCTTCTTGGAATTGGGAGGATGGACATGCTTGTGATTAGGGGTTGCTGAATCTTCATGCATATGGAAACCTTTGATCATCAATCTTTGAATTAATTGTTTATGGATACATGGAATTTTTTGTATTTCTTTTCCGCTTAAGGTAAAGCCAAGCGCTTGGGTGAAGAAGGAAAGGGACACCCCCATTACCAAGGCTGTTAACTGCGCTGCAAAATCAATCTATGGCATTACAAGCCTGACCTTTGATGATTACATCTCAAACCTGATGAATGCAATCGCTCACAAGTGCAAGTTTCACAATAATCAATTCAAACACTTCCCTAGGTATCACATTGGTTTATTAAGTGTTGTCTACGAATACCAACAGGTGAGAAGTATAGCCTTTTCCAGGCGACCACGAGGGGGTGGGGTGTGTAGTTTTTTATTCTCTTTCTCAACCTGAGGGAACAAAATTAGAGTGTTAGGTAATTGTGGCCGCTGATGAGAACGCTCGTTCCGTCAAATATCTAGGATTTCAATTATATTCTTNAACAGGTGAGAAGTATAGCCTTTTCCAGGCGACCACGAGGGGGTGGGGTGTGTAGTTATTTATTCTCTTTCTCAACCTGAGGGAACAAAATTAGAGTGTTAGGTAATTGTAGCCGCTGATGAGAACGCTCGTTCCGTTAAATATCTAGGATTTCAATTATATTCTTCTTGCGTGAAACATGAGTCATTGTTGGACTTGCATGGCTGAAAAAGGCATACGATTTTATAATGCACTTAGCATTTGTTTTACTTCTCGCTTAGAATTTGCTCTCGTGGCCGCTGGNGAGTGTTAGGTAATTGTAGCCGCTGATGAGAACGCTCGTTCCGTTAAATATCTAGGATTTCAATTATATTCTACTTGCGTGAAACATGAGTCATTGTTGGACTTGCATGGCTGAAAAAGGCATACGATTTTATAATGCACTTAGCATTTGCTCTCGTGGCCGCTGGTGAGAACGCTCGTTCCGTCAAATATTTAGGATTTTAATCATATTCTACTCGGGTGAAACATGAGTCATTGTTGGACTTGCATGGCTGAAAATGGCATACAATTTCATAATGCACTTAGCATTTGCTTTACTTCTCGCCTAGCATTTGCTCTCTTTGGGGCTTCTCGGAAAACATATTTCTTGTTCAATTCTATCAAGTCTTCTAGTGATATGTATGGCTGCTTAAAGCTCTTTTTTGCTAACTTCTAAGCTCTNGGTGAAACATGAGTCATTGTTGGACTTGCATGGCTGAAAATGGCATACAATTTCATAATGCACTTAGCATTTGCTTTACTTCTCGCCTAGCATTTGCTCTCTTTGGGGCTTCTCGGAAAACATATTTCTTTTTCAATTCTATCAAGTCTTCTAGTGATATGTATGGCTGCTTAAAGCTCTTTTTTGCCAACTTCTAAGCTCANAGCATTTGCTCTCTTTGGGGCTTCTCGGAAAACATATTTCTTTTTCAATTCTATCAAGTCTTCTAGTGATATGTATGGCTGCTTAAAGCTCTTTTTTGCTAACTTCTAAGCTCAGCCCCTTCTCGTGCTTCATAACGAAGTCATACATAGATAAAACAGCGAAATTAAAAGTTAATGAAAAGGCTAGTATTTTAAGGATTCTAGATGTATAACATTATCAGAGTGACGTGCTTAATTCCTCTGCAGAATTCCTTATGTTATCAGAGATAACTAATGTTTTTGGCCAAATGCAGGAATCAGGTCTGTGTTTCTTGGCCATAAACAAGCGATCTATATTCACTACTCAGATCACCTTAAATTAAAACATAACTTTCCNATGTATAACATTATCAGAGTGACGTGCTTAATTCCTCTGCAGAATTCCTTATGTTATCAGAGATAACTAATGTTTTTGGCCAAATACAGGAATCAGGTCCGTGCTTCTTGGCCATAAACAAGCGATCTATATTCACTACTCAGATCACCTTAAATTAAAATATAACTTTCTTGTGATTTGCGGACCAATACATTCGCTTGTCCCCAACAAGAACAAAATGACCTTTATACCCCTCAATTCATTCTATTAAAAATAAAAGTAGCCCTAATCCTCACCCCCAACTCTGGCCACCACCACCTAACAAGACCCAACCAAAATCATCACCACCACCACAACAAACACATAAATTGGAATTAAATAGCAGTTCATCAATACAGAAAATATAGCAGCAGTGGATAAACGATAACCCCAATTCACGGACACACTAGTGCGCAGTCAAAACCATGCTCCCCAGCAGCACCCTCAGGGTCTTTTCTCCCTTTTAGCATCATTTCCCAGTTGCAAGGAAGAAACTTCCAGTAAGGCTACAACTCATAGGCTGGGCAATAGGTGTTCTGAATAGTTTTGAATTGAATATCATGCTTATAAACTGCATATATATATCATCGATTGTCTCTTCCAGAGCTCCTATGAGCCAATTTATTGGCCCCAAAAATATAAGTCTTTTTTTGTCAAAAACCAGATTGGAAACTACGAATCTGAGATTAAATGGACTGTGGACTGTAAGAATCTGAAAGGCAGTCCTATATCATTCAGCTTCAAAGAGAACCTCGACAACTTACGCCTATCGAATCTGTTGGGAAGAGATAACACAGCTACAAATGGTAACAACAACCACAACCCTTAAGTGCCAGCGTAGTTAAATGTGTAAGACTAGGATGCTGTCAATGAGGGACTGAGAAACTTTCAAGAGCAGAGAAGAGGGTCAAAGTACGGCATTCCTATTGACCTGTTTGGATATTTTTAGATACCTGAGAATCCAATTGTAACTAATTAATTAATAGTTAGTCAAATAAAGTATTGTGATAGAGATATGCACTCTAGAAACACTAGTTTTGCCACTTAAACTGGTTCGGGGATGTCTGTCCTCCCTGAGTCCTGTGCTCTCATTCTTTTCCTGTTCATATTAATTCAATCCATGGAAAATAGCAATATAAAAGAACAAAAATAAATAAATGACTGAATGAATGAAAGTATAAACAAAAAGTTCAACGGCTCTCACTGATAATAATCCTTCATTCAAACTTTCTGAGGGCTCTACTCTGAGGCCTTGCAAGTTCATTTAATTGAATAGAGCAACACAATTCAATGCTATGGAACTAAAAAAGGAAAATTCATAAATTGCAAGCAATAGATAGAAATATACTGTGGTAAGAAATTAGGGGCTCCGAAGTTGTGGTTGTCTTGCATCAGCAAAGGCAAAGTATAATTCCTAAAGTCTATGTCTTGGGCTTGGTGACGAAAGAGACCAAGCCGGAGGGATGATTTTATATTCTTGGGCTGGCTTTTCCTCTTTCTTGACTTCATCGTCCTCAAAAATATCCTTGGAAAATGCATAGGGGTTAGCTTTAATACAGTCCTGCAAAGCCACAAACGGATGCACACAATCCGAGCCCTACAAAAGAAACAAGTAAAATCCGCATATTAGAGAAAACATGCAAGATGTTGGGTTTTAAAAAATTAGTTAAGTGTTTGAATGAGTTGAAACTCAAATAATGAAGTATTAAGGTTTAAGTTAAGGAGACATAAGAAAAAAAAGAGAGAAAGAGATGGACAAAATGGGATATGCTGCCCTACATCCTCTAATTTATAATAGACAGACATTATTGATAATTACAAAATTATCCTACACTACTAGTAATATAAAATAAGAACTCTGACACTTCCCATCAAGTTGGGGCTTAAAAATCTAAGATGGCCCAACTTGGAGCAAATATTATTAAAAACGGATCGAGCCAAAAGTTTGGTAAGGATGTCACTCTCACTAGATTTGATGTATGATGTGATAATCTCCTTTTGCACCAAGAGATCTTGAATAAAATGACAATTCACTTTGATCTGTTTAGTCCTCTCATGAAATTCCGGATTACCATGAAAATAGTTGTTTGGTTGTCACACTAATACCCATATCATGGCCTTGAAGGCGAACCCACAACATCTCACACACAATATAAGCCATGGCCCAGTATTATGCCTTTGCACTCAAACATGCTACTACATTATAAGCCGTGCTACGCCAAGTAACAAGATTTCCACTGAAAAATGTACAGTAACCCGAAGTAAATTGTCTATGAATATGATTACCCACCCGGTAAGCATTAGAAAAATCAATAATAGTTATGAATGAAGAAGGACGATATAACTATCCTTTACTCGGTGCTCCTCTCAAATGCTAAAGAATACGACAAAAGCCTCCAAATGAAGCTTATGAGGAGTGTGAATAAATTGACTAGTCAAACCAACAACATATAATATTAGGACGTGTAACTATAAGATAAATCAATTTATTAACCAATCTCCAATAGCATCCTAAATCATCAAAAATTTCGTTACTCTCAACATCTAACTTAATTGTATAGCCCATGGGAGTATAAGTTGGACGTGCACCAAGAGTACANTATGAATATGATTACCCACCCAGTAAGCATTAGAAAAATCAATAATAGTTATGAATGAAGAAGGACGATATAACTATCCTTTACTCGGTGCTCCTCTCAAATGCTAAAGAATACGACAAAAGCCTCCAAATGAAGCTTATGAGGAGTGTGAATAAATTGACTAGTCAAACCAACAACATATAATATCAGGACGTGTAACTATAAGATAAATCAATTTATTAACCAATCTCCAATAGCATCCTAAATCATCAAAAATTTCGTCACTCTCAACATCTAACTTAATTGTATAGCCCATGGGAGTATAAGTTGGACGTGCACCAAGAGTACAGGTTTCAGACAATAATCTAATACATACTGTTGTTGGCGCAAAAATATAAGAACAACCTCAATCCCAACAAAGTACTGAAGAAGACATAAGTCTTTGGTATGAAATTGTTTCCTCAAATGGATCTTAAAGTGAGCAATACCATTTGAGTTATTATCACTAATGATATTATCATCAACATACACAATCAGAATAATAACACGTGGAAGATAGATGAATAAAAACTAAATGGTCTGAAGTCAAACACTAAAAACCATATCGAAGCATAATAATACTACACTTATCAAACCCNCATCTAACTTAATTGTATAGCCCATGGGAGTATAAGTTGGACGTGCACCAAGAGTACAGGTTTCAGACAATAATCTAATACATACTGTTGTTGGCGCAAAAATATAAGAACAACCTCAATCCCAACAAAGTACTGAAGAAGACATAAGTCTTTGGTATGAAATTGTTTCCTCAAATGGATCTTAAAGTGAGCAATACCATTTGAGTTATTATCACTAATGATAATATCATCAACATACACAATCAGAATAATAACACGTAGAAGAAAGATGAATAAAAACTAAATGGTCTGAAGTCAAACACTAAAAACCATATCGAAGCATAATAGTACTACACTTATCAAACCAAACACGTGGTGATTGTTTCAATTCATATAGGACTTTCTTCAAACGACACACTAATTGTTCCTTACTAGAAACAACGTAACTTAGAGGCTATACCATATATACCTCGCCTAGTAGGTCTTCGTGTAAAAAAGATTTCTTAATGTCCAACTAAACATTAAAGGAGATTTGTTGTTCAAAATGAGGGAAGGCTAAGATGAACTGAAATAAGAACAACATCAACCCAATATGGTTTTGACAACATCCAACAATCACGATGTGTACATTTGACAACACCATCTTGTTAGGAGGTATGTAAACAAGTGGTTTGATGTAAAATATCATGATCAGCATAGAAGGTTTTCTAACCAATGAGTATACTCGAGGGTATTGTTAGACTGAAGAACTTTAATATGTAAATCAAACTGAAACAGAATTTTATTATAAAAGTGGTACGAGAGAAATCATTAACAAAGATTACAAAATATTAAAAACCATAAATACTTTTGACTTTTTGCAGGACCCCAAATATCTGTATGACCAACATGAAAAGATTAAACTGACAACTTGAAGAACTAAAAGGAAAAAAAATATNGTTAGACTGAAGAACTTTAATATGTAAATCAAACTGAAACAGAATTTTATTATAAAAATGGTATGAGAGAAATCATCAACAAAGATTACAAAATATTAAAAACCATAAATACTTTTGACTTTTGCAGGACCCCAAATATCTTTATGACCAACATGAAAAGATTAAACTGACGACTTGAAGAACTAAAAGGAAAAAAAATACAGTGATAATTGCCTAATTGACAAGCCTAATATTCGAACACAGAAAAAGAACTCAAACTAGTGATAACTTGACGGAACTTTTGTAAGGACGGATGACCCTATCAAAAATACCACTAAAGAGGAGACACAATAGCACTCAAGACCATAACAAAATCACCAAAAATTAAGTAATAAAAGGTCATTGCTCTCATGTCCTAAACCAATCACATTTTTCGCCTTGAGGTCTTGAAAAACACAAGATTGAGAAAATGTTATTGAACACTATAAGGATTTAGTTAACTGATTCACATATAATTAGTAAAAAAAAAATTAGGAAGAAACAAACTAGAGGTTAATGGCATAGATTAAGTCGGACAGAGATCGCTAGTCCCATATAACGGTCGGAAAAAACCACCAGCCAATACAATACGTGAGTTAGGCGAACGAAAATCNTTGGGGAAAGAGAAGGACCAACTATAACAGATCCTCTGATAATAAGTTAAAACTCAAATAATGAAGTATTAAGGTTTAAGATTAGGAGAGAAGAAAAAAAAGAGAAGAGAGAGAAAGAGATTGAAAAAATACTGTGTAGGATCAACAATTGCCTATTGGGCAACATAAAGGAAAAAGACGAGATGCAAAATATTATGCCTCTCAAACTAGAAACTGGACTATATTTTTGGTTAATTGGATATCATGAGTTCCAGCATCACTAAAAATCAATAGATTAGGAGACTGATCAAATAATAACAATGACCTAACTTCTAAAATCAACTAAAAGATGAGATCATTTATAAGTAAAAAACAATAGCTCTACATTGCAGTTAGCAAGATGCGATTTAGGAACTCGTTAAAAAAAAAAAGATGCGATTTAGGAGCTTCCAAAGCCATTAATGGTTAGTCTAGTTGGTGAAAAGATAGGAGAGAAAAAGATAAAGATAAAGATAAAGAGTATGGTTCTTTAAAAAATTTAAACATTTTGTACAACTTCACCATTTCCCGATTCGTCAGAAATCAAATTGAAGCCCATGAGAACCATGCGTATTTATCGACATATCATTTTCCACCAAAATATGGTTATAAAAATAAGTGGGGGCCTTCATCTTTGCTTATCAAATCTCTTCAAATTTGATTTGTTAAGTATCTTGGTTATCTTTGATTTTGTAGATAATAACACTACACTCCTCTATGTTTTGATGGTGTATAACAGATTCCCCCAGCTGTTAGCGTTAGTTTTATGTTAAGAGAACGATAATACTCTAATGATGTAAGAAACAATTTTACAAGAGGTTCCAAAATTACCCTTCTCGACCACATGCATTTTGAATGAGCAAAATTTTGACCAAGTCATAAGGGATGCACTTGTAGCATTTGTCTAATCTTTGACAAAAAATGGGATGGCTAACTCAAATTGTGTTATAGAATGGATCCTTCCCTCCCTAGGTATCCAAATAAGTAAGAAAATTCTACTTTAAATCCCCATTTCAATCATCATTCTTCATCATTCTTTACTCTTTTCACTTTCCCATTTTAATCGAAATGTTTTCTTCCAAATTGGAAAGCCTAACAAAGAAACAAAGGCTTCCATGAATTTATGGGCAACACCACAAGCTCTTCTGTTTTATTGAATATTGAATTGTCATTCTAGTTATACACAACTTTACAAGAAAAAAAAAAGAAAAAGAAAAAGAAATTATTAGAAAAATCAGTAACTTTCATTCTCTCACCATCTTTTGTATCTCATGCTTTTCAAAAACACAGTCAAATCTGGACTACCACCAGAGACCTAATCTACCAATTGAAACCACCACAATTACTAGAGCCACCACCATTACTGAAACCACAAACCCAATTTTAGAGAACTATCATCCACTCACCCACTCACCCACACCAAATACCCAGCAAGCCATCCCTCCCCCTCTAACACTGACAACAATCTTTCCGACCACCTAAAACAACCCATCCATTCAGAGGCCCTTTGTAGTTGTCGACCCCACCGTTACCAACATAGATCACACTTCCTCACCTTTCTCTAATACTTTCTCTTACGCAACATAATGATGCAGAAAAATACTTAAATCAGTTGTGAAATGTTGTTTATAGCAAGAATCAACAACTTTTAGTGAATTTCCAACAATAAGATAACAAGAAAAAGCATTAATATGAATTTCTAGGGCAGATAGACCCAAGAAAGACAGAAATTATGATCTTCTGGAATAAGAAAAATAAAAAAAAAAACTACTACAAAGGCTAATAAAGAGGTATAAATACTAGGGTTGAAGCAGCCCTAGCAACCTAGCCCTTCGTTACTCAATAAGTCCTTAATCCTAGGCATCCAAGACAATTAAAAACTCACATTTTTAAAAAGACTAGGACCACAAATATTATCTATAAGACTAACATAAAACATAAAATACTGTTGAAAATTAAAAGGTAACTAAAAAATCTACTAAATAGAGCTCAAGTTAAGCCTATTAGTGGGCTCACTTGTTCTTGATAAGCCTCTTGGATGCTCCCGTATCTACCCCTCCTANTCATAATTAAGTTAGAACAAAGATTATAGCCATGAGACAATCGCAATCTCACCAATGTAGAACAACAATCACAACCAAAGGAATACAACCATCGGTTATAATACCTCCTCAAGATATGATTTAGGATCCAAAAAAACCTTATTAGAACCGGTCAAAGTTTCACAATGAATAGTGACTAGCGGTGAATAGTAACCAATGGTGAACAAGAACAATGATGAACCGTACCAACAATGAACAATGGTAGAGAAGAGAAGAAAAAAGTTGGGGAAAGAGAAGGACCAACTATAACAGATCCTCTGATAATAAGTTAAAACTCAAATAATGAAGTATTAAGGTTTAAGATTAGGAGAGAAGAAAAAAAAGAGAAGAGAGAGAAAGAGATTGAAAAAATACTGTGTAGGATCAACAATTGCCTATTGGGCAACATAAAGGAAAAAGACGAGATGCAAAATATTATGCCTCTCAAACTAGAAACTGGACTATATTTTTGGTTAATTGGATATCATGAGTTCCAGCATCACTAAAAATCAATAGATTAGGAGACTGATCAAATAATAACAATGACCTAACTTCTAAAATCAACTAAAAGATGAGATCATTTATAAGTAAAAAACAATAGCTCTACATTGCAGTTAGCAAGATGCGATTTAGGAACTCGTTAAAAAAAAAAAGATGCGATTTAGGAGCTTCCAAAGCCATTAATGGTTAGTCTAGTTGGTGAAAAGATAGGAGAGAAAAAGATAAAGATAAAGATAAAGAGTATGGTTCTTTAAAAAATTTAAACATTTTGTACAACTTCACCATTTCCCGATTCGTCAGAAATCAAATTGAAGCCCATGAGAACCATGCGTATTTATCGACATATCATTTTCCACCAAAATATGGTTATAAAAATAAGTGGGGGCCTTCATCTTTGCTTATCAAATCTCTTCAAATTTGATTTGTTAAGTATCTTGGTTATCTTTGATTTTGTAGATAATAACACTACACTCCTCTATGTTTTGATGGTGTATAACAGATTCCCCCAGCTGTTAGCGTTAGTTTTATGTTAAGAGAACGATAATACTCTAATGATGTAAGAAACAATTTTACAAGAGGTTCCAAAATTACCCTTCTCGACCACATGCATTTTGAATGAGCAAAATTTTGACCAAGTCATAAGGGATGCACTTGTAGCATTTGTCTAATCTTTGACAAAAAATGGGATGGCTAACTCAAATTGTGTTATAGAATGGATCCTTCCCTCCCTAGGTATCCAAATAAGTAAGAAAATTCTACTTTAAATCCCCATTTCAATCATCATTCTTCATCATTCTTTACTCTTTTCACTTTCCCATTTTAATCGAAATGTTTTCTTCCAAATTGGAAAGCCTAACAAAGAAACAAAGGCTTCCATGAATTTATGGGCAACACCACAAGCTCTTCTGTTTTATTGAATATTGAATTGTCATTCTAGTTATACACAACTTTACAAGAAAAAAAAAAGAAAAAGAAAAAGAAATTATTAGAAAAATCAGTAACTTTCATTCTCTCACCATCTTTTGTATCTCATGCTTTTCAAAAACACAGTCAAATCTGGACTACCACCAGAGACCTAATCTACCAATTGAAACCACCACAATTACTAGAGCCACCACCATTACTGAAACCACAAACCCAATTTTAGAGAACTATCATCCACTCACCCACTCACCCACACCAAATACCCAGCAAGCCATCCCTCCCCCTCTAACACTGACAACAATCTTTCCGACCACCTAAAACAACCCATCCATTCAGAGGCCCTTTGTAGTTGTCGACCCCACCGTTACCAACATAGATCACACTTCCTCACCTTTCTCTAATACTTTCTCTTACGCAACATAATGATGCAGAAAAATACTTAAATCAGTTGTGAAATGTTGTTTATAGCAAGAATCAACAACTTTTAGTGAATTTCCAACAATAAGATAACAAGAAAAAGCATTAATATGAATTTCTAGGGCAGATAGACCCAAGAAAGACAGAAATTATGATCTTCTGGAATAAGAAAAATAAAAAAAAAAACTACTACAAAGGCTAATAAAGAGGTATAAATACTAGGGTTGAAGCAGCCCTAGCAACCTAGCCCTTCGTTACTCAATAAGTCCTTAATCCTAGGCATCCAAGACAATTAAAAACTCACATTTTTAAAAAGACTAGGACCACAAATATTATCTATAAGACTAACATAAAACATAAAATACTGTTGAAAATTAAAAGGTAACTAAAAAATCTACTAAATAGAGCTTAAGTTAAGCCTATTAGTGGGCTCACTTGTTCTTGATAAGCCTCTTGGATGCTCCCGTATCTACCCCTCCTGGTCGGACGAAACTTGACTACCCTCATAGATAGGTTCCACTACTTCCTCTTCCTCATCTTTAAGCTCTATTAAGTTAACTCTTTATTGTGTACATGTAAAAGATGCGTCTTTTTTCTCCACAAGTGAAACAATGAATCTGTGAAGCAATTCCAATCTTTGAACTGTTTACATCAACAACATATTTTTCATCAAACCATGCAATTGTCTTTCCTTTCTCACCTCTATCAGCCACCCCATTGCTTCTACCACATGTCTGGTTAGTTTTAACAACCCCACAATCAAATTTTGAGGCTAGTTGTTCACTCCGAACATGTCAGGCATCAGTTGTGTTTCTCTGTGGTGCAGCATCAACACATGCAGATAATGGTCTTCTTGAACTATAGCGCCACACTTTCTTTTAAGTCATTAAGGTATTTTGTTGACAATCTTGGAGGTTGCACATACGAACTAGTACCCTCTCATACCAATTAGTTTAAGCCCGAATGATAATGAGAAGTCAAATGTTCATTACTCTTGTTTAAACTAACCGAATAAAGACATTGTTGAACTTAGATTTATGCTCCTCCACTGCCATGCCACTTTGTTTCAAACGATAAAATCTTCATATAGCTCAATTGCATAATCAGGTGGCAAACATTACGTCCGCATCTTTACCATCATATGTTTCTATGTGCACATTTTTCGTTTGCCTTGTCGATATTGTTGCTCCTTCACTCACTTCCACCATTGAAGTGTAATACCCTTTAATTTAAGCTTCACAAATAGCACCTTTCTCTTTTCAATCATAGGTTCCACTCACAATAGGTCTACAAACTAGCTTCTCAATCCAAATAATCTTTGGCATGCATCTTTTCAAAAAAATAGGCAATCTCAATTTTATTTCATCCGCCATTCAAATCAAGAGCACACACTAATCTCTCTACCAATCCACCCCGATTTGGATTGTCTACGTGCTCGATTCCATGTAAGAGATTCTCCTCCTCTAATTCGTCATCATCCTCTAGACTACCTCCTGGTAAGTCAAAAGGGTCACGTTACCTTCTGGAATCTCCATACGGGCTTCTACTCATTTCCATCGTTGTAGCATTTGTACTGCTCGAAACAAATCTTCAATCATACGCCTCATCTCAGTTTGTTAGAACAGGTTTCCTCTTCCACCACGACCTTTACCTCATCCGGCCATGAAATAAATCTAGGGTTCTTATGCTCTAATACCAAATAGATGCTGCAAAATACTTAAATCTGTTGTCAATTGTTGTTTAGAGCAAGAATAAACACCTTTTAATGAATTTTCAGCAATAAGATAACAAGAAAAAGCATTAGAATCTAGGAGGTAATAAGAACATATGAATTTCTTGGGCAGGGAGACCCAAGAAAGATAAAAATTTAAGATTTTCTGGGATAAGAATAGGAAAAAAATTGTTGAAAAGACATACAGAGGTATTTATACCAAGGTTACAACAAGCCTAGCATCTAAGCCCTTGGTCACTTCAATAACTCCAAGATAATTAAAAACTCACATGACTTTTTAAAAAAACTAGGACGATAAATACCATCTATAAACATAAAAGATAAAATACTGCAAAAAATAATAAGATAACCACAAAATCTGCTAAATAGAGCTTAAGCTAAGCCTTTTAGTGAGTTCGCTTGATCCTAATAAGTCTTTTGGATGCTCCTGCATCATATACATTCATCCTAACCCCACCCACTTAAACTTAACCCATATACATTCATTCTAACTCTCCTTTTCTCTCACCCATATCACACTTGGCATGTTGGTCTAAGTTGTGATAATGGGGTGTATTATGGGTGTTCAGGGTAATGATTTGTGGCATGGAGGTCGGCTGGTTTGTGTTTGGAAGAGAGAGAATCACAGAGGTGTGGTGGAAATGATTAATCAACTAAAGGAGAAAGTAGAACAGTTTTGATGCCAAAATAGACACACATGTATAGGCAAGGTTGCCATTTCTGATCTTCCGTTTACTCAGTTGGACTTTGACGGATGTTACTAACCGGCGAGTGTAGTGTTATCCATACCTAAGGGGCTAGTTGTTGTTTGGACAAATCTCAGGGGCAGTGGATATAATTTATCCAATTTTAAACATAGAGTAAATAAACAATGAAGCAGATCGAAAAGGCCAGTAGAAACCCAAGCTGACCGATTCTTTATAAAGAGCAGCCTGCAATTGCACCAAGACTTGAACAAGAAGACTCATTTGAACGAAAAATCTTCTACTTCTAATAAAACGACTCTAAGTGACTAGAATCCCATGTACCAAGGATTCCTCAAGATGTTATATTACCAACAATAATTAATAATAAAGCACACTTAAGTAAATAAATAATTGTTGGCTTTGTTTAATCTCCAACATATAGTCACCTTTTCTTCAGCAGTGCTTTTGAGAAAACAGAGAAAAGCCCCTGAAAACTGGGTACCGCATGAGCCACTTCTCAAGTGAGCTATGCAAGGGCATTCTAATGCTTTTTGAGCCTTCACATCAAGTGACTGAAATGCAAACAATTGTTTTTATTCAGCAACAAAGGTACAGCAGGAAAATTTCAATTCTAAATCACAAAGAAAGATTTGATCTTCAAAGGTGCACCAACCTCATTCTCACCATCATTGCCAAATGCTGCAGCTTCTGTGGAGGCAGAAGAGTAGAAGTTTGTCAAATTTTGCATTAATTTGTGCAATTAATCTGTTTAGCAAAACGTNGGTGCACCAACCTCATTCTCACCATCATTGCCAAATGCTGCAGCTTCTGTGGAGGCAAAAGAGTAGAAGTTTGTCAAATTTTGCATTAATTTGTGCAATTAATCTGTTTAGCAAAACGGAATGAAACTAAAGAAGTCATGAACCACAGGTTCATTCTTAAAATCAATGATGCATCAGAATACGATAATCCTATTGCTTGTGGTGGAACTGGATTCTATATCCACCACATCACTAGATCAATGATGGATCATATGACATGATACCAATGAGACAATGGGAAAATGCAGTCATTGAAGTCTAATTAGGAACCATCTTCTGAAGAAGAATTTAATTCTTATAGCTGCTGTTTATGAGGTATAAAATAGGACTTTTGTGGAGGCAATGCGTTATACTTGAAGAAACAAACAAAAACAAACAGATGGATCAATTTCCTTGAGAGCCATTTTTTGTATTCTTCTAGTTGGAGGAACAATTAATATTAAGGTCCTTCCACAGAGCTTCAGAGGGTGATGCATTTCTTGTAGATATAATTAGCAGAACAGCATCAACTATAAATGGGGAAATTTAGGACTACCTTTTTTATCACCCAGATTAAAGAGAGGGGGTGGTAGTAAGGTAACAGTTTCGTGCTGAAATTATTTGATGTGTATAAAGCAGAAACGAGGATAACACTCGATGAATATAACATTAACAAAGAAATAAGTCGAGAGAAAGAGACCAGCAATCAAGGATTCCATGGAAGCTGGCTGTGAATTGTCTCGGGCAGCGGAAGATGAGGACGTCGACGGCCTGCTTTCATGATCTACAGAGGCAGAGGCAGAGGCGGCGGCGGCCGGGGCGGCGACTTCACTCTGAACTTGTCCCATTTTCGGTTCTTATGTAATACTTCCTTCTTTTTTTGATAATGAACGATTTTGTTACGATGAAACGACACCTCGCCCCCTGTAGGGTGTCTTTCTGTTAATTACGTNTCTTAAAATCAATGATGCATCAGAATACGATAATCCTATTGCTTGTGGTGGAACTGGATTCTATATCCACCACATCACTAGATCAATGATGGATCATATGACATGATACCAATGAGACAATGGGAAAATGCAGTCATTGAAGTCTAATTAGGAACCATCTTCTGAAGAAGAATTTAATTCTTATAGCTGCTGTTTATGAGGTATAAAATAGGACTTTTGTGGAGGCAATGCGTTATACTTGAAGAAACAAACAAAAACAAACAGATGGATCAATTTCCTTGAGAGCCATTTTTTGTATTCTTCTAGTTGGAGGAACAATTAATATTAAGGTCCTTCCACAGAGCTTCAGAGGGTGATGCATTTCTTGTAGATATAATTAGCAGAACAGCATCAACTATAAATGGGGAAATTTAGGACTACCTTTTTTATCACCCAGATTAAAGAGAGGGGGTGGTAGTAAGGTAACAGTTTCGTGCTGAAATTATTTGATGTGTATAAAGCAGAAACGAGGATAACACTCGATGAATATAACATTAACAAAGAAATAAGTCAAGAGAAAGAGACCAGCAATCAAGGATTCCATGGAAGCTGGCTGTGAATTGTCTCGGGCAGCGGAAGATGAGGACGTCGACGGCCTGCTTTCATGATCTACAGAGGCAGAGGCAGAGGCAGAGGCGGCGGCGGCCGGGGCGGCGACTTCACTCTGAACTTGTCCCATTTTCGGTTCTTATGTAATACTTCCTTCTTTTTTTGATAATGAACGATTTTGTTACGATGAAACGACACCTCGCCCCCTGTAGGGTGTCTTTCTGTTAATTACGTTCTTTCCTCTTCTTATTTGATATTTTATTAAAAAAAAATTCTTGATCTACTTTATTCGACCAACTATAATATTTCGATCAGACTTTTGGCCAAATTAATCATATGAGAATTCGTATGAATACTTTTATAAGTATTAATTTTTAGATTAATTTAACAATTCAATTAAATTATTTGCACTAATTTAATAATACAATAAATCAATATTAAAACAATTACAACAACAATTATTTTAAGTTTAAATTAAAGAAATTAGAATTTTTAATTTATATTCTACAAACTTGAAAAAATGGTCAAGCCGAGTTAGTTAAAAAAAATGATTAAACACATACTTGAGAAAATGGTTAACCCTAACCGTAAGGATTGGTCACTTCAGTTGACCAATGCTTTATGAGCATACCATAATGCATTAAAGACACATTTAGGTATGCCTCCTTATAGGATATGACAAGGCATATCATCTACTAGTAGAAATGGAGCACTGTGCTTATTGGGTCATAAAGACCTTGAATTTCAATTTGGGTCTAATTGGAAGCTATAGGAAATTAAAATTGAATGAGTTGGAGGAGATACACAGAGATGCGTATGAGAGTATACATATTTATAAGGAAAATGTTAAAAAATTTCGTGATCAAGCCATTTTGAGAAAGACCTTTGAGTCGAGACAGAGGGTACTCTTATAAAATTCTCATCTTCACCTATTTCCCAGGAAGCTGTGAGCCCGTTGGATCAATCCTTTTGTGGTCCGCACCATTTATCCTCATGGGGTTGTAAAGGTAAAAAAATCCTAAGAATGACCAGACTTTTAATGTCAATGGCCAACGATTTAATCCTTTCTTAAAGGGTTTTTTTAGCTTAGGAAACTGGTGAGGAGCTCACTGATCCTGGGTATCAGGACCATCCATCTAATTAGTTTCCCTTGTTTTCTTTTGTATTAGTTAGGTAGTTTTTTTAGTCTTGTTTTCATTCTTTTGTNTTACGTTCTTTCCTCTTCTTATTTGATATTTTATTAAAAAAAAATTCTTGATCTACTTTATTCGACCAACTATAATATTTCGATCAGACTTTTGGCCAAATTAATCATATAAGAATTCGTATGAATACTTTTATAAGTATTAATTTTTAGATTAATTTAACAATTCAATTAAATTATTTGCACTAATTTAATAATACAATAAATCAATATTAAAACAATTNTAAGTTTTTGGGTCATAGTAGGTATTCTTAGGACTTAGTGTTTGTTTTAGTTTTTAATTAAGAAGAAAAAGAAATAAAAAGAAATTTTTTTTCCAACATAAATTGGAACATCGGATAGGACTTGTAACGGTTCATCTATGTTCCATCCGAAAATTTTAAAATAGAAGTTCGACGGTTTTTCTCATTACATTTCAAAACTTTCCAAAAAAAATTTCTTGCAAACTCTTTCTAGACTTCCGAAAATACCAACCCTAGTCTCTAATCTTCCCTAAATCACCAATCTTCATTAATTGATGTTGGATTGAAACCCTTGAACCTATCAATGAAGGCAAAGAACCCCATGATATTGGAAACCCAGTGCTTCTTCTCTTGGATTTGGGTTTGTCTACTCTATATCTCTATGGTGAGTATGATTATGATGGATATGGCAAAGATGAGAGGGGCTTCCATCATTGCAACAAGGAAGTTGAAGGGAAAAAGGCAAGTGATTGAGAGTGATGAACAAGAGCAACCTAAGCCATGGAGAGCCAAAAAACTAATTACTAGACTTCGATTACAGTGAAGGGGGGTTATGTGTGAGAGAATGGTGGATGAGAAGAGCTTAGGCAAGATTGAGCTAGTCCGACAGATTGTGGAGAAGCCTTAATTTTTTATTCTAGCCAGTGAATGGCTATATTCTATCTTTATGTTGTGAGTTTCATAGTGGTTTGACCCTTGTTGATAGTGATTTGATGTTATTGAGGACTACGATTTGGGGTTATGTTATTGAGGACTACAGTTCAGGGTCATGTTATTGAGGACTACGGTTCAAGATAGTGTTGTTGAGGTTACCCCCAATAGCATAACTGCCTATTTGGGGTATGTGAGACCTTACTCTACTAAGATAGATTATCCACACCTTGATTTTGCTGCCAACGATCCTGTTGAGTATGCTTGGGCTATGTATGAGAACCCCAATGAATTTAATCTTGTTCATAACACAGACTTATGAACAAGATTCTACATTATAAAGTGTATTCAAGGAGGTATGA